CAACGGGCCATTTCAGGCCCCCCCCCCAAACCAATCATGAAAGGGCGGCCTTTTGCCCAGACCTCCCGGAACCCTCCAATGCAGCTCACATCAGATCCCCCTCTAAATCAGACCTCCCCCACTTTATTACGTAATGGGGAATAGAGATCAATCAAATTTTGCTTTGCGGGGTGTCTTGCAAACCTATTGGCAACATCCGCCAGGCCGAACTCCTTGCTTCGGGCTGGCGGCTATTGGCAAGTGACCGCCAATTTGACTCAAGATGCCTCCAAGAGGGCCTCCAAAGGTGTCCAAGACGGCCCAAGACGGCTTCAAGATTGTCCAAGAGGCCTCCAAGACGCTTTCTTTCTCCGAGAGGCAGAACACATTGAAATACGAAATATGTGTTTGAATTGTTTTCAGATTCTCGCCTTTTTCGTCGTAGCAACGTCCATGACGGCCCAGTGAGCCACCAATCTTATACTAATGCGGCCCTGAGAGACCCGCAAGATGACTTCCAAAGGTGCCAGGCGGCCTCAGGGTGCTCCAAGACAGCTCCAACATTGCCACCCAGAGCGCCCCTGAGCACTTGTGTAAATGTATTCTGAAATCGGTTATCGGCAACCAGTTCTTTGCGTTGAAGGCATTCCTGCGGATCCCTGCCCCTGTCTTCTCCCTGTCGTTGCGGCAACAGGGGGAATTTTGCATCATAATGCTATGACACTACGTCGCGTTGCTACGAACACAAAATCCTCAACCCTGTCATGCAAGCGCCTACACCTTATACCCAAACTCTTGAAACCACTGGCCTCAATAGGCATAGCCGAAAGGCAGGGGGCGGCGGTGACTCGCCGTAGGCGTCTTCGATATCACCATGTCGGCGTTCAGGCTGTCAGCCCAGGCTTGACATCCCCTCCCTCTCCTTTCTCTCTCTCTCATTCTCTCTTTCGCTCTCTCCCTTCGCTCTGCCCTTGGTGTCTGGCTGGCAAGAAGATCGATCACAAGTCATTCAATTGCGCGACCAGATCGCTCCACTGGATCGGTTCACAGCATGGGGCAATCAACACAACGGGCCCGAAAGCTTCGAACACGATCACCCGGATCGCGATCATCGACCAGGTATCGATTGATAGATCGACTATGGAATTTCTATTCCTACCTCCCACAACCCTTCCACGAAGCTGCCCAATGACCAGAGTGTAACACCTCCCGCAAGCTCCCTCAATATGTGAAGAAATGCCAAACAGTAAACAGACAATGCAACTCCTAGCCAATGTGCATTATCACGCATCCCTGGCCAAGATAACTACCTGTCTCGGCCGATGAGATGGCTGGTGAGAGGTTGAGAGTTCTCAACCTGACTCCTTCTAGTATCGATCATCTTCAACTATGTTTAGCTGTGCGTGCTTCGTTGGGCTCGAATCGGACCAGCATCCTTCAAATAGTGGCACTCGTGCTCGCATGACCCACGTCACTCTGTATACTGGCGTTTCGCTGACTTACATGTCAAGTGGCAACAACTGCCAACAAAACATGATAGCGTACATCGGGGATCGCATCTGCAACGGAAGAAGCGGGCAACACGCGATCAACAACGATAGTACCAAACAGAACCGCAGCGAGCTTCGACGGCCAAGCAACAACTAAGCCAGATGTGCGCGACTGCATGGAGTGCGCACACACACACCACCGCACATCTCACCAGTGGCTGCGAAGCCCTTGGGGCTGGTGAGCCAAGCTTTTGCTTGATTATCCCATGCAGGCTTTGTTGCGAACGCCATCTTCGGTACAATCTAGACCACTTCCCTCCGACGACAGCCTCTACATTCGTTTACGGATGTGTTCATCGGTTTCCCTTGCGTCGTGCATGGAGAAACTCGTGCAATGCATCAATGCACTGCCTACGCACACAGGAGTCCTGTGTGCCGAAGGCGTGTGAGACTTCGTCGCGAGTCTTCAGTACGTATCGTGAAATTTGGACAATGGTAGTCGTCTTCGGTGGGCTCGTCGTTTTTCGGTGTCAGAAATGCTCGACTGATGTCCACGGCTGGCGATCTGCTGGTGAACGAACGCAGGTTGTAACCTTTTCTTAGAGTCGACACGCCAATACTATGTCTCCAACAGCGTGCATTTCGCAACGACTCATTATGTAAGTGAGTCCATGATAGCACCACGTAACAGCAACGACACCCAGTGCTCTGTGCGATTAGGGGTGTGGAGCGATGCTACGTGGGCTGCGCCTTCGCTCCCCGCTTCTGTTTCCCAAGCCAACTCGGATATTCATTGCTTTGCTGTCCAACTTTTGCGTTTGGAGAAGAGGCGCACCGCGCATGCGGTTAAAACGTCCAGCGACCAATCACTCACACCGATATCGCATGATGCCCGCAAGCCACAAACACGCAATGCCCTGAAGCAACTCATCATCAATCCCCGCCGACCCACAGACACGGCGACCGATATTGCATCCAATCCGTATTGACCAAGCTCGAACGATTTGCCGTTGCCGATGATGCCGTAGGCCTCGTCGCTGCATGCGCCATGTGCGCTGTGTGTGCGTGTGTGTGACGCAGCATGAAGGAGCAGAGCTGCGCGGAGGGTGGCCTGGGTGGAAGAGAGAGGCACCAAGAAACCAGAACACACACACACATGAGGAGGAGGAGGAGGAGGAGGAGGAGGAGGAGGAGGAGGAGGAGGAGGAGGAGGGATGAGGGAGGAGGAGGAGGAGGAGGAGGAGGAGGAGGAGGAGGAGGAGGAGGAGGGACGAGGGAGGAGGAGGAGGGAGGAGGAACATGTGGAGCATCTGGAGGCCACGCGCTGCAGACACACATGCAGCAGCCCAGTCTGCACGGCCGCAGACGGGCCGAGCGCAGGGACGACACCTGGCCGCAGGTGTATCCAGCTCGCGCCCAGGCCGGCCGCGCCATGTGCATGCATTCAGCTGCCATGGCAGGATCAAGCATGGCATCGTAGCGGAAGGGATGGGCACGGAGCGGAAACTGGGAAGATATTTGAGTATCGTTTAACCGATCCCCATCCCCAGCGGCGTGGCCTGGGCCCCACTGGCCGATTTACCCCCCCCCAGATGGGGATGCAGGTCGTTCCCTTCGGGCTTCGAGGGGTGTATCCCCAGCTGGAGTGGCCATTTGGTGGGGGTGTCGAAGGGGATGGGGATGGGGATGGGGATCGGTTAAAAGATACCGAATGTTGGAACCGAAAGCGACGCACGGAGAGCGAGAAGACGCAGGCATCGAGAATGTGAAAATCGGCGGCCGCGCCGCCGGCACAGGCTCCGTTCGCGCGCGCGCGAAGCAGTGGCAAACATACGCGGCCGGCTGCCCCTTTGTTGCCGCTCTGCACCGTGTGCCCCGCGCACTCGGCTTCTCCCTCCCACTGTGTACGTGCCCCGCCACGTGGAAGTGGTGACCACACGAGGTGAAAACGAGACAAGGGGATGCGGAGGCCGAGCATAACCGCAACCGCTCAACCTCATCATCCCCCTCTCGTTTTTTTGTTGTCCAGTGCTTTCAGAACTCTGTGCGGAAGACGTGGGCAGACTTGGGGAAGAACAATGGGCACACCAAAATAAACAGGCATGCTTGAGGGATGAAGTCAGGAAGGAGGGAGATGGAGGTAGGGAGGGAGGAAAGGACACAAACAATGTGAAGGAGGGGGGAGGGGGGTAATTAAGGGTTTGTCGCCCGTGCCCCGTGCCGCGTGAGCTCTTTAATTGACCCTCTTTTTTTGTTCTGTTTGTTGTTTTTTGTTTTTAATCGTATGTTAAAAAAGCCATTTAATATTATCCATGTGTATATAAACAAGACACACAACATGATAAACACTTGTTCCCCCAACCATCCTGTGATGCTGGGTTCTCGTTTTGAAGACACGGTCCCCGTGTTCTCCTCCCTCTCCTCCTCCCCCTCCTCCCCCCTCCATCACCATCATCATCGCCCGTTTCAGCGCACCCCTCACACGCTTCGTGGCCCCGGGAGCCCCACCGAAGATCCCAATGCTACCGTCCGCATGCGTCCCGCACACATGCTGCAATCCTTCAAACACCTTCGGTTTCGGAAGGATTCCCAAATCGAGTGTTCAAAAAACATACAACACCACCGGGTTTCGGAACGCGGGTTTTCAAAACAGCTTGCGCGCGTTCTTGCGAAATTCTTAAGACAACCATAGGCTTTCAATATTCAGAGCGTGCTACCAAACGGGTTTCGCGCGCGCATGTCGAAATCGTTCGAACGCCTTTTGCGCGCGTCTGGGGGGGGGGGGGCACGGTCCGTGTTAAATAATACCATGTGGGCCATTCTCGCGCATCTGCCGTGCGCGAATTTCGAACTCCTTCCAAAACCTTCATCACCGACGCGACGACACAGTCATCGTCGTCGGCGTGATCAGCATCGGCGCCGTCACTGGCTGCCCCGTCGTCGCCGCCAGCATCGTCACCAGCATTGCTACTATCATCTTCGCGTCTACCGTTGTCGACGTGGCCATGATACCGCGCCCGCCCAAGTCGCCGACTCGCACTCAAGTGCCCGCTGGGATATGCCGAGCGGGCAGCGCCACCGCGTTCGCGTCGGTCGCGCCAGACTAGCTGGCCGCTGTGCGCTCGAGCATGCGCGGGCTAGCGCGGCCGCAGAGATGCACCAACCAACACCACGCAGTCATCGTAATCGCCACCGCATGGGTTTTGTAAGCCAAGTTGCGGGTGGGTGGGTGGGGTGTTTGAGCGAACAATGGTATGAACGACTCACTGCGAACCGCCCGCGTGCGTACCATACACCCAATTTGGCACTCTCACCCACCCAGTATAGCGTTTCGTGGCCCCATAGGGAACTCCACCGACGGCCCCAGTGCTACCGCCCGCATGCATTCCTCCCCACCCAGTACAGCACTTCGTGGCCCCATCGGGAGCCCCACCGAAGCCCCCACTGGGGCCGCCCGCGTGGGTCCCACACGCCCAATTTGGCACTTACACGCACCCAGCACGGCGTTTCGTGGCCTCATAAGCAACTCCACCTACGGCCCCTGTGCTACCACCCGCATGCGTTCCCCCCCACCCAGTGCAGCGCTTCGTGGCCCCATAGGGAGCTTCACCAGAGAAGATATTCACAATTGCGGTACCCACAGCTGAAAAGGGTTGGGTCCTTCGCCAGGATAATGAAGAGACGGTCGCCGCGTTCTCCTCCTTCCTCCCTCCTCCCCCTCCCCCCTCCTCCTCCTCCTCCCTCCCTGCGTTTCACCCACCCAGTACAACGCTACGTGGCCCCATAAGGAGCACCACCAAAACCCCCACTGCCACCGTCCGCATGCGTCCCGGAACACCTAATGTGCCATTTTCACCCACCCAGTCCAACGCTTCGTGGAACTATAGGGACCTCCACCGAACCCACCAGTGCCAACGTCCGCCCGTATGCGTCTCGAAACACCCACGTTGGAATTTTCACTCACCCAGTACAACGCTTCGTGGCCCCATAGGGAGCTCCACCGAAGCCCCCAGTGCCACCGTCCGCATGCGTCCCGAAACACCCAAGTTGGCATTTCCACCCGCCCAGTACAACGTTTCGCGGCCCCATAAGGAGCTCCAGCGAAGCCCCCAGTGCCACCGTCCGCATGCGTCACGGAACACCTGGCATTTTCATCCAGCACAGACAACGTTGCGTGGCCTCATAAGGAGCTCCACCGAAGCCCCCAATGCCACCGTCCGCCCGCACGCGTCCCGAAACACCCAAATTGGCATTTTCACTCACCCAATACAACGTTTCGTGGCCCCACAAGGAGCTCCACTGAAGCCCCCAGTGCCACCGTCTGCATGCGCCCCGAAAGCCCAAGTTAGCATGTTCACCCACCCAATACAACGTTGCGTGGCCCCATCGGGAGCTCCACCGAAGCCCCCACTGGGACCGCCCGCATGCGTCCCACACACCCAATTTGGCACTTTCACCCATTCGATACAACGTTTCGTGGCCCCATAGGGAGCTCCACCGAAACTCCCAGTCGGACTGCCCGCATGCGTCCCACACACCCAAGTTGGCATTTGCACTCAACCAGTACAGCGTCCGCCCGCATGCGTCCCGAAACACCCAAATTGGCAGTTTCACACACCCAGTACATCGTTTCGTGGCCCCATAGGGAGCTCCACCGACGGCCTCAGTGCTACCGCCCGCATGCGTTCCTCCCCACCCAGTGCAGCGCTCCGTGGCCCCATAGGGAGCTTCATCGATGCCCCCAGTGGGACCACCCGCATGCGTCCCACACGCCCAATGTGGCATTTTCATCCACCCAGTGCAGCGTTTCGTGGCCCCATAGGGAGCTCCACCGACGGCCCCAGTGCTACCGCCCGATTGCGCTCCCCCCCACCCAGTGCAGCGCTTCGTGGCCCCAAAGGGAGCTTCACCGAAGAAGATATTCATAATTGCGGTACCCACAACTGCATATGCTTGGGTCCCTCGCCAGGATATGTTTTTTGTTGTTCTCTCTATCTCTCTCGTTCGGGTGTGGTTCTCCTGTCTTCGACTCTGCTTGCCGGGTGCTGCGTGCGAGCCCAGAGGGCACTTGAGTCGGCGGAAGGTACCTGAGGTCGGCAGGACATACAGGAAGCACGCAAACGAAAACGTGCGCACGCCGGCACAGAGTCGCGACGTCGGCGCCGCTCGGAGGGGCAGGAGGTGGGAACAGCAAATGTTTGGGCTCCGGCGGGGCCCGGGATCTGGCCGACCTCGGCGCATTGCCCTCGAAACGCCGACCGCGGCATTTTCACATGGATTTGGACTGGACAACTACTTGCGCACATGCGTTTTCACACGGAAGCTTGTGAGGCAGAAACGAAGCACATTCGCGACAACCGCAAGCGACGGGATTGGATGTTTCATAGTTTGGGGTAGGATAACAAGACGTCTTTGCTAGTTTTCCTGTCTTCCGTCCTCGACTCTGCTGGGACGGCGCCGAGTTCGAGTCCAGGGGGAAACACATCTGATACCTCTGGGAGCGGAACACATGGTAAAATAACATGAAACACGTAGATAACATCAAACCAACATGTCTTCCGAATGCAGCATGCGGAAACAAGTTTAATCAGCGGTGCCTCCCAGTTTCCATGTTTTGGTGCCCTCGTACTTTCGGCTGTGCACGCGTATTTGCTGCTGTTGCTTGTCATGCTTTTTTGTCTTCGACTCTGCTGGCAGGGTGCTCATTGCGAGCCCAAGGGGACCGAGTTCGGAGGCCTCGGGGAGCGGAAGATATGGCAGGAAAGCAATAAGCACATGACAAGTAATCCACAAGCGTGCAATTAGAAAATAGCTAAAACCTGCGACCGTCACAAACTCCCCTCGCTTGTCCCTCGTGTCGGCGGTGAAAGCAATGGGTGTTTGTTGCTATTCATGTAGTATTTTCTGCTTCCTGTCATCGGCTCTGCTGGCGGGGCGCTGGTGTTCCCTCTTATCTCTTCACGTGTTACCCCTTTTCAGTCTTGCCACCCGACACATGTCGAATCATCCTCGCCACCAGTGTTACCATCAT